ACTGTGAACTGAATGTGTAGACGATGGTGGTGGTACTGTTGGTTTGGGAAAAGTTGATGTATTTAATGTTTACAATTACAATCCAACTCCAATGATCCCAAGCTAATAAGTGAGGTTAAATTTCCTTCCAGCCAGAGAGTCCATGAGAACCTTAGTGTTCTTCATTTAAAATAAAGCCTCTAGGCCACATTAGCACCAGAAGCACCTCCCTCTGCCATTCCCACCAGTTCAACTACAGGCCCAATGAGAATTTAAATGCCAATGCAAGTGTGCTGGTCGGTGCTTTATGGTTTTCCTGTCCTAATCAACAATATGCACTCCTCTGGTTCTCTCTGGGATGTCTTGATACATTCAGTGACAGATTTTTTTTCATCATGCCTTTTTATTTATTTAATTAATTAATTAATTAATTTTACCCTCACCTGAGGACATTCTTGTATTTATCTTCAGATAGAGCGGGAGGGAGAAAGGGAGAAAGAAATAGAAACATCGATGTGACAGAAACACATCGACTGGTTGCCACCCACACAACCCCAAACAGGGCCCAGGAGAAACTGTAACTGAGGTAAGTGCCCTTGGGGGGGGGGGGACCGAACCCAGGACTCTTTGGTCCGAGGGCCAACACTCTAACCACTGAGAAAACCGGTCAGGGCCATCATACTTTAAAAAAATTTTTTTCCCTCCGAAGATAATTTTTATTTTTTTTACTAATTTTTTTTGTTACAGATGTTTCTCCTTTTTCCCCCACTGACACCCTCCTCTTCATCCCCCTAAATTTTTTTCATCACCATTTATCTCCCCCATATCCTCTTCCACCTCTAACCACTCCCCTTCCCACCACAATCACCACACTTTTATCTGTGTCCATGAGTTCTTTCTTCTTTTCTCCCTTGCTAATGAGAGAAATCAACATGGGAACATAAGCAATTGGATTAAGTACAAAGTTCAGTCTGAGTGCAAGCTTTGGTACTTCACCCCATCTCTGCTTGTCACCAAGGAATGCTACCAGAATGTTCCTTTCTTAGACTCAGGTCTGCAGAGTATACACTACCCATTAAGGGAGGTAATAGTAACAGCAGTTATCAAAGTGAGTACTTATGATGTGCTGGACACTGCTAAACCTGGATTAACTCAGTTCATTCTCACAGAGCAGGTTCTATTAGTAAACCTTTCATGCCAAAAGACACACTGAGACTCAAACAGGCTAAGTAACTTGCCCAGGCCGCAGAGTAAATAAATGGAAGGAGCAGGATTTGAAGCCAGGTTTGTTGAGATCTAAAATAATCTTTGCTTTCAAGTAGTATTTTACACCACCTTGAAGTGTTGTTGGACCCTTGTGATTGTTGACAGCAGCAAAAGAAATGCAGTAAACAAAGTCTCACCACTTAAAGCAGTAAAAGCCCTTCACTCTGTGTGCAATTTACTACCGAAGAGTAGGCCCAAGGGAAATTCCAGCTCAATACGTGTTGAAGAATCATAATGAAAACTAGTTTTAATTTTAGAGAAGCTATAAATAAAAACGAAGCACATTTAGGTTTTAAAAAAATCTTTAAAATGGTTATTATTGCCCAGTTTTCTTAATAGCAAGAGTGAGTAGTTAGGTTCCAGTTACATAAACTTGAGTGAGATTTTTTTTTTTCTGCACACACTTCTTACTTGCTGAAGCAGTCTTTTTTTTTTTTTTTTTTTTTTTTTTTTTTTTTTTTTTTTTTTATAAGGCAGGAGCTAAAAGCATACTAGAGTAAAAAAAACTATAAATATTAAAATGCAAAACTATTATGGCAAGACTGCAAACTTGTCTCAACAAATTGCTTGGCTTAAAAATCTGCACTAACTGAATTTTCTTATTAAAGGGTTATTTTAAGAAAAGCCCAATTCCATTCAGTGCGAATACAATTCTTACAGTAACAGCCTGTCTTTCTCAGTTAATTGCTGCTTGTCTCCTTGGATATAATCATTTGCATAATTGTGATTCTTTTCAATAATAAAAAAAGGATTATATAATCTTGGAGAAGCAAACATCATAAAATTTAAATTTACATGAAATTAAAGGAATAAATGTTCCATGGTAACGGAACTATTAACATCTACCCAAAGAATAAAGTCTTTAATATTATACCCTATGTATTAGTAGAAAATCACTTTAGATTACACTACTCTTCAAATGTCATTCAAATTTGAAATTTTCTACCTCGTTTGGAAATTACAGTATTGAGAGGAAGATCAGTAGCACCATCCATAAGACAGTGTTTAGAATAAATGAAGGCAGGAGGTGTGAAGCAGATGTTTCAGTGTGTTTTTGCTTCAGTGAAGAACAAATGGAGACTAGAAGCCACAGTCCACTTGGATGAAAGTTGGGTTATGTCACTGCATGAGCTCTTATTTATCTGTTGTGTTCCATCCTCTCTTGACACCTGTGGAACTCAAAACAAGCACCCAACATCCAAATACCACCTTGGTGCCTACTCCCTCCCATAGTTGGGGCTGGCTCAGATGCTACTCCAGGCCAGCACTGAGGAGCACCCCAGCTGGGTAGCAGCTACCAGTCTGCTCCTAATGAAATTGCTGGGGATATAGCCAGTAATGTGTCTGTGCCCTGAAAAAAACATAGCACCAAGTGACCACACACAGTGTTGCTCCCTCTCCTTTGCTACACCAGAGTTGGCAAGCATCATTCTCTCAGCGTTAACCATCCAACTTCCAGACACATCACATAGGGATAATTTTCCTTTGCAGAATCACTTGCTTTCAAGTCACAGAATCTGGTTGACATATACATTTGTGCATAGCTTGGCCAGTGTGACTCTGTGGATTGAACACCCTCCCAGGGACTGAGAGGGCCCAGTTCGATTCCCGGTCAGGACACATGCCTGGGTTGTAGACTCCATCCCCAATGGGGGATGTGCAGGAGGCAGCTGATCCATGTTTCTCTCTCACATCGATGTTTCTCTCTCTCTCTCCCTTCCTCTCTCTAAAAAATCAATTAAAACATATCAAAAACAAACAAATAAATAAATGAATTTGAGCGTAAAACAATACCAGTTTTTTTTTGTTTGTTTTTCTCATTGGACTGTTTATTTACTACCCAGAAGTTTGGCTTTATTTATTTATTTTTATTAAAGCTGAAAATGGATCTGTGGTTACAAAGTGGTGATTGCTTTTTGTCACCTGTGAGTTTAGGGGATTTTATCGTCCTTGATTGACTCACAGTAAACAGTCTTATAATCTGAGGAGCCCTCTTCCTCATCTTCCGATGGGTTCATGGCTGAAAGGCTAGCAATCAGGAGGGAATAACAGGTGTTGTACAAACACATCACCGAATCATAGAATGGATCACCTGGGGCATTGGTGGGAAGGCCTCCTGTGCCGTCACTTCCAGCAGTAGCTGGGGGCACAAACGTAACATTCCAGGATGTGCCCTCTCCACTTGGGCCACCTGGTTCACTTGGACACTGGATATCCATGGCATTGCTCGTGGATTGCAGATCAGAAAACGTGAATGACCCGGTGTCACTGGGTCCCCAAGCATTCGGGGGTTTCCTCTGGGCTTTTGGGTCAGCTTCTCTGGTGCCTTCCTTTTGATAACTCTTTAGGAAGTGTCTTGTAGGTATTAGCCTTTTCTTCCTCTTTGGAGGTGTTGCACCGGTCATCTGGTTGCCTTTTCTCTTGATGTTCTCAAAGAGCCAAGGCTTGTCTCGTTGAAAGTTAGAATTGCGGTAGATCTGAAAGAAAATGAATCATTTTAGTCATTTTGAGAGAAAATATACCTCTTGGATATTAACTGGCCTCTCAGAGTCTTTAGCCATCCCTACAAGTTACCTCTAAGGGGGTTATAGTTTCACTTGAAAATCTATACTTTCTCATCTTTCAGTAAATACTCTCATGTGCAAAAAAAAAAAAAAAAAAAAAATTATCCCCTAAAATGAAACCCTTTCATTATATAATGCTTTTGGTCTACTAGGAAGACGTTCCAATAACAGAGAATGTGGAAAACAGGACTTTCTACTTTACCATAATCTTGTTTCTTGGAGAGGAAATTGAAGGGTCGCTTGGGCGTATTTTAACGAATCCAGAGAGGTTCATCAGGCGGATGAAACTTTTCAGGCTATCTGATTCAAAGATTTGCTCCTCTCCCCTCCGGCAAAGAACCTCTCTCTGGAAACGATCTTCCTCGATGATCACGGTGTCTCCATTTTCATTCCAGTGCACGGACGGGATGGTATCGTCCTCCACTATTCTCCAAAGCTTTCTTAAGAAGGACAACTCAGGAAGAATGCTACTTCCTTCCACGTTGGAGGAGCCTTGGTTTGGGTCCTGTGGTTGCGGATTATTTTGGGGGCTGGGCTCATTGCTCCAGGTTGGGTCCCCGTACCTCTCCAAAGCCTCCCTGGAGTCCATATCTGGATCTGGGGATATATCATACTGGACCCTTCTTGGCGGCCCTCTGTCCTCCAATGGGGCCAGCTCGGTTTCATCCATTTCACTGGCACTCTGAGAAGCCATGGAGCTGCAGCATTTGCTGCCTGGGATCCTATCACTGAACACTAGGGTCAGAAATGCGTTTGGTCACCGCAGGGATGCCCGTTACACGCTGTCCTCAGAATTCTAGACCCTGGGTTGCGGGGCAACCAACTGCTTAAGTCATCGTTCTCTTCATTTGTCATAGAATGTCACAAAGATGGCTCGGGGCTGGTCTGGAGAGTGGGCCCTTCCAAGTGTGGAGCGGGGGTAGACCAATGTAGTGCCCCCAGCTTATCTTTTTGTGGAAGAAAGGAGAGAACAATAGGGTTCAGGTTGCGGGAAAGGGCTCTCATCTGCTTTATGTTGCTAGGCGCTGAATGGATTGAAAGCCATGATCCTACCTCTACTCCCACCCCTACAGATGAGGGAGAAGTGTAGATGGCCTCTTTTATAAAAATTGATTTTAGAAAGAAGTAGGGGGGAGGGGAAGGGAGGGAGGGAGAGAGAGAGACAGAAAGAGAGAGAGAGAGAGAGAGAGAGAGAGAGATCCATGTGAGAGAGAAACATCAATCTGTTGCCTCCTGCAGGTGATCCAGGAATGGAACCTGCCACCTTCCAGGTGTACAGGAGGACATGAACCACACCCGCCAGGGCTTTGCCCCTTTTTCTCTTATTGCTTTTACAGAAAGGAAGGGAGACAGAGAGGGAGAGGGAGGAGAGGGAGAGGGAGAGGGAGAGGGAGAGGGAGAGGGAGAGGGAGAGGGAGAGGGAGAGGGAGAGAGAGAGAGAGAGAGAGAGAGAGAGAGAGAGAGAAGGGCCTTTTTCAAAATTGAATTTGTTGGGGTGACATTGGTTTCCAAAACCATACAGGTTCAAGTGTACAGCACAATAAAACATCATCTACAAACTGTGTTTTATGCCCACCCTCCCCAAGCAAAATCTCTTTCTGTCCCCATTTTCCTCCCTTTACCCACCTCCCCCAACCCTCACCCCCCTTTTCCCTCTGGCTATCACTGCATTGTTGTCTTTTTTTTTTTTTGCTTAATCCCTTCACCTTCTTTCATCCAGTCCTCTAAACACCCTCCCCTCTGACAGCTGTCAGTCTGTTCCATGTATACATGCCTCTGTTTCTATTTTGTTCATCAGTTTATTTTGTCCATTAGATTCCACATATAGGTGAGATCATGTGGTAGTTGGCATATTTCACTTAGCATAATGTTCTTCAGGTCCATCCATGCTGTCACAAAGGGTAAGATTTACTTGTTTTTTACAGTCAAGTAGTACTCCATTGTGTAAATGTACAACAGTTTTTTAATCCACTCATCTACTGATGGGCACTTGGGCTATTTCCAAATCTTGGCTGTTGTTAATAACACTGCAATGAACATAGGGATGCATATATTTTTTTCAAATTTCAGTTTCTTCAGATGTATTCCCAGAAGTGAGATCACTGGGTGAAAAGGCAGTTTCATTTATAATTTTTCGAGGAAATTCCACACAGTTTTTTTACAGTGGCTGCACCAGTCTGCTTTCCCACCAGCAACGTACTAGGGTTCCCTTTTATCCACATACTTGACAACACTTGTTGTTTGTTGATTTATTGGTAATAGCCATTTTGACAGGTGTGAGGTGATATTTCATTTTGGTTTTAATTTGCATATCTCTGATGATTAGTGACATTGATCATTTTTTCATGTTTATTGGCCATCTGTATGTCCTCTATGGAGAAGTATCTATTCAGGTTCTTTGCCCATTTTTTAATTGAGTTGTCTGGCTTCTTGGAGTTCAGTTGTATAAGTTCTTTATATATTTTGGAAAATAACCCCTTATCAGATGTGTCATTGGCAAATATGTTTATCCATTCAATGAGTTCCCATTTTATTTTGTTGATGGTGTCCTTTGCTGTGCAAAGCTTTTTAGTTTGCTGTAGTCCTATTTGTTTATTTTTTTCCATTGTTTCCCTTGCATAAGGAGATAAACTGGCAAAAATATTGTTAAGAGGAATGTCTGCAAGTTTACTGCCTATGGTTTCTAATAGGATTTTTAAGGTTTCATGACTTACTTTTAAGTCTTTAATCCATTTTAACTGTATTCTTGTGTATGATGTAAATTGGTGGTCTAGTTTAATTTTTTTTCCATAGATCTGTCCAATTTTCTCAATACCATTTATTGAATAGACTGTCTTTACTCCACTGTAAGTTCTTGCCTAGTTTATCAAATATTAATTGGCCATAAGATGTAGGTTTATTTCTGGGCTCTCTATTCTGTTCTACTGATCTATATATCTATTCTTATGCCAGTATCAAGCTCTTTTGATGACAATTGACTTGTAGTATAGATTGATATCAGGTAGTGTAATATCTCCAACTTTGTTCTTCTTTCTCAAGATCATTGAGGCTATTTGGGGTCAGTTTGGTTCCATATACAATTTTGGAATATTTGTTCTAGATCTGTGAAATATGGCATTGGTGTTTCAATAGAAATTGCATTGAATTAGTATATTGCTTTGGGTAGTATGGATGTTTCATTGATGTTAATTTTTTCTTTTTAAATTTTTTTCTTTATTATTGATTTTAGAAAGAGAGGAAGAGAGAGGAAGAGAGAGATAGAAACATCGATTAGATAGAACATAGGTTGGTCTCCTCCTACACACCCCCTACTGGGGTTTGGCCCACAACCTGGGCATGTGCCCTGACTGGGAATCAAATTGGCAACCTCTGGGTTCATGGGTCGATGCTCAACCATTGAGCCACACTGGCTGGGCTGATGTTAATTTTTTTTTATCCATAAACACCATATAAACTTCTACTTATTTGTATCTTCCTCAGTTTCTTCAGTATCTTATAACTTTCTGAGTACAGGTCTTTTATCTCTTGGTTAAATTCATTCCTAGGTACCTTATTATTATTATTTTTTTGCAATAGTAAATGGCATTTTTTTATTTATTTCTCTTTCTAATAGTTCATTATTGGTGTATAAAAATGCCACCAATTTTTTAATATTAATTTTGTATCCTACTACTTTGCTGAATTCATTTATTAAATTTAGTAGTTTTTTTGGTATAGGATTTTCTATGTAAAATATCTGTGAATAATGACAGTTTTACTTTCTCCTCTTTAATTTGGAGGCCTTTTAATTTTTTTTCTTTTCTGATTGTTGTGGCTAGGACTTCCAGTACTATGTTGAAGAAAAGTTGTGAATGTGGACATCCTTATCTTATTCCAGATCTTTTTTTTTTTTTTTTTTTTTTTTTTTTTTTTTTTTTTTTTTTAATCCTCACCCGAGGAATTTTTTCGATATTTTGTTCAGATAGAGTGGGAGGGAGAGAGAGAGAGAAACATCGACGTGAAAGCGACACATCGAGTGGTTGCCATCCACACGACCCAACCAGGGCCGGGGACAAACTGCAACCAAGGTACGTGCCCTTAGCGGGAACCGAACCCGGGTCTCTCCGGACCGCAGGCCGACGCTCTAACCGCTGAGCCAAACCGGCCAGGGCTTATTCCAGATCTTAAAGGAAATGTTTTTAGATTTTGCCCATTGAGCATGATGTTGGCTGTGGGTTTGTCATATATGGCTCTTATTATGTTCAGATATGATCTCTTTATTCTTACTTCATTGAGCGTTTTCATCAGAAATGGGTGCTAAATTATATCAAATGATTTTTCAGCATCTATTGATATAATCACGTGTTTTTTAGTTTTCATTTTGTTTATATGTTATATTATGTATATTGATTTGTGATTATTGTATCAAACTTGCATCATCAGAATAAATCCCACTTGCCCTGGCCAGTTAGGCTCAGTGGTTGGATGATCAGCCTGCGGACCAGAGAGTCCTGAGTTTGGTTCCTGCTAGGGGCACGTACAAAAAAAAAAAAAAGAATAAATCCCACTTAATCATGGTGTGTGTTCTCTTTACTATATTGCTGGATCTGGTTTGCTAGTATTTTGTTGAGGATTATGTCACTTATGTTCACCAGGGATATTAACCTATAATTTACTTTCTTTGTAGTGTCTTTATGTGTTTTGGGGAGTAAAATAATGCTGGCCTCATGAAAAGAGCTTTGAATTTTTCCCTCCTCTTGGATTTTTAGGAATAATTTGAGATGGGTAGGTATTATTTCCTCTTTAAATATTTGGTCAAATTCACCTGTGAAGACATCCAATTCAGATATTTTAATTGCTGGGAGGTTTTTTTTTAAAATTATTATTATTACTGCTTCAATTTCATTAGTTGTAAATTGTCTGAATAGGTTTTCTGATTCTTCCTGATTCAGTTTTAGAAGATAGTATGTGTCTAAGAATTTATCCATTTTGCCATGTTGACCAATTTGTTGTATATAATTCTTCATGTTATTTTCTTACAATCCTTTGTATTTCTGTAGTCAGTTGTTAATTCTCCTCATTCATTTCTAATTTTATTTATTTGGGTCATCTAACTTTGTTTCTTCTTTTTCCTTCATTTTATTCTTTTTATTTTTATTTTATTTATTTAATTAATGTATTTATTTTTGTTATAGATGTTTCACCTTTTACACCCACTGATTCCCCCCCTCCCTCCCCGCCCTCTCCCCAGCTTTGTTGTCCACGTCCATTGTTCATGCACACATGCATATAAGTTCTGTGGTTTATCTCTCCCCCGCCACCCCCTCTTCTGGGTATTGTCAGTCTGTACCCCTGTACATTGATTTGTGAATATTGTATCAAACTTGCATCATCAGAATAAATCCCACTTGCCCTAGCCAGTTAGGCTCAGTGATTGGATGATCAGCCTGCGGACCACAGAGTCCCGAGTTTGGTTCCCGCTAGGGGCACTTCCACGTCTCTGGGACTACCCCATTCCTCAGAGTGTTATGTTCATTATATTTCAAAAATAAGTGAGATCATATGAAACTTGTCTTTCTCTGTTTGGCTTGTTTTGCTTAGGATGATACTTTCCACGTCCCTCCATGACGTCTCAAAGGATAAGAGATCTTTCTTTCTTACAGCTGCATAGTACTCCATTGTGTATATGAATCACTGCTTTTTTATCCATTCGTC